CAATAAATTGATAATTGTAAAATTAATTAAATATAAAATTTATAATTTATAAATCAATATATTTAAAATTTAGTAATAATTTTAAAAATTAAGATTAATTAATAAAATTTCAAAATAAATTATTTAATAAAAAATGAATTGCACTTAATTAGAAGGTTCATTTTCTTATAAGAAGATTTGGGTATAATTAGCATAATATTATAGTGTTGTATAATATTAAAATAATATTAGGACTTAATAATATTTAAATTCTATTTTAAATAACCACATTAATAAAATTTTAAATTAATTAATATAACTATAAAATTAAACTAACTATTTCACATCAATTTACTTAACAAAGCCCCTGCATCATACAAGTCTTGACTAGTTAAAATAATTAAAGCAAATCGAGCATATTGCTGAGTGACTAATTTATTGGTTTTAATATCCAAAAGTTGCCATAATTTCAGACACTTAAGGTCTTATCCCGTGATTAATTTCTTTAAAAAATCCAAATTTCGAATAGAATGACTCAACACCTAGTGATTTAAAGTGCCAACTGAGATAAACACTCAAGTTTAAGTTCAAAGAGCAAAATGATTAAATTGGAGAAAGTAGAAGGCAGGAAAAGTCTCAAGACATTGACATCTAAGAGAGAGAGAGAGAGAGGAGAGTCTTGGAAATAGAAGGGACATGAAAATTTGTATTTGTTTAGGGGAGGTTAGAGAAAATAAAACAAGAGAAGCGGTGGCCGTATCCAAACAAATCAAACAAGGATCATAATTAAGCACATAATTTGACGTTGACGACAAAATTGCGTCCCTTTCCCAATTATTGTTTTCTTTGCAACAGTAGGAAGTGCAAATATATATATATATATATATATATATATATATATATATATATAATATTTGTAAACCTTGTATTTACATTCTATCCAAACAGAACCTAATGAATATTCTCGAAATTCTAGCTCAATTTAGCATGAATGAATCAAGATGACTACAAATCAATCTTAAATTTGTTTCATGGGATTCAAGAATTTTCTTTTTATGTCAAATTATAATTTCTGACTTCAAGACGAAGTTTGGTTAAATTGTATGTACCCACGTGTTTATTATAAATTTGATTATAATAAACCAAATTTCTTCTTCTTCTTCTTGTCAAGGTGTTTAGGCAGAGCTCACATATTCCTTTGAGCTCCAAATTAATATTCCAATTGTAAGATTCCTTAATAAGCAAGGTAGTAAATAAAAATAAAATCAAGAGTTAGTATCCTACTTTTATGTTTATAAAAATAAATGTAGATAGATTCTATCTATCTATCATATATATATAAAATGATCCACCTGACTTGTAACTTAAATGGGTTGAAAGGTATTTATCAAACAAACAAATCAACAATATGGTTAACAAATCCCGTTTACAAAAGCTCGAGGTGATGGCTTCAACGTCCTAAAAGGCCGAGAGAATGAATGGATTCCACGGATGTCCCAACCCTGTGGGACTTTGGGGGGAGGGACCAAGTAGGATATGTGAAATGTCAGAGTAAGAATTCCAAAAGGATCCACTGCTGGGATTGTTGGTGCGGGGCCAAGCTGGGAACGAAGACATGGGCCTCATTGATGGCTCTCGGCCCAACCCGGACAAAAGTGGGTCCATGGTCCATGGGGTGGGCATCTTCTAATTTCCATTTAGGCCCTAGTGTGTCACCAAGTCACCAACACAACACGCCACACGCCTTTTATTTTTAACCCAACCATGATGTTTCTTCAACTTGGGCTATGTTTGCTTTCAAAGAAAAAGGTAGGGAAAGGAAAAACTTTTATAAGTACAGATGGTAATTTTTATCCCACCTGGTGGGTATTCATCCTGACAGGCTGGGTTTTTTTCTTGAAGAATTGATTTTTTGGGGTGGGGATGGGTTTTGGTCTTTTGGAATTCTACAACTTTTATGGGTATGGTATTAGGTTAAAACCCACCCTTTCTAATCTGTATATTGTTGGAAAGTATATAAACTTTATGTATTAAGTGTTGAATCTAATAATATTTTAAATTTTATGTCAAGGATAATTGATAGTTTATATGTTTTAATCAAATAATTAGAAACTCTGCTATTTGTTTATGTTATTTTACTTATTTATTGTTTATATATATCAAAAAAATAATAGAAAATTAGATACAGATTCTAAATCCAACACACTCTAACCTTGAATGCATAAAGGAATGGGTTGGGAAGGGTTTTGTATTTTCTTGTGAGGAGAGGATTTGGGTTCTCAATCCAATCCATTATGGGTTTTGGGGCAGGTATGGATTGAGAGGCTTAGGAAGATGGATCATGAGTAGAGTCTAAAATTTACAAAATCCTCTCCAAATCGGCCCCGTTACCATTCCTATATAAAAACAACCTTAATTCAAAAAACAAAAAAAAAAAGAAAATATAAAAAAATCAATTTAATTTAAAATTTGCGTGTTTCTACTTTCTACTTCTACATGAAATATATAATATGCATTTAATTAATTTGAGAGGCAATCTAGCTGCTGATGCAGTGGGAACTGGGAAGCAATTTCAGAAGGAAGCAACCTGCACTAGAAGAGCGTGTGTATTGTTGTGTAAAATAATTCCAATAACACAGCTTTTGTTTGTCTATGGTGTCATGGTCTCCTCATCATCGACAGTGGCCCAAGGGATTGGCAACTTGGGAACTGGGAAACACACTCCAATGCCCTTTCCCCAATTTCCCACTCTTTCAGTAAACCATGCGCCATTCCCAATTTTAAACCATAAACAAGGATAATTCAATCTTTTCCTTTATTATTTATTTATTTTTTTTGTTTTACCAAATTAATTCAATCAAATCTTCTCTGCTTTTGCTGTTCCAGATTTCATAGCATTCTCGTCTGACGATATATCGTGATATTCATGTAAACCGTCCAGTTCATAGAAGGAGCTATCACGTGTGACTTGCGACTTGCGAGGCATCCCAAAGCTCAACTGACGTGGGCCTAGTGGAAAAAAAAATGTATGAGGGCTTTCTGTGCATATCAAGGGCCCCACTCCCACTTCAGGCCCACCGCAACTACCCAATTTAACAATTACTCCAAATGTATCTCTTTCGACAATCGTCTGGGCCTGGGACCCATTGCCATGCAAGCTGACGAGGTCTTAGATTCCCCGGGTCCTTAAAAAATAACAAATCACCACTTCATTTACTTTACTAAATAGAATCTACTTAACTATATCTTACTCCTATACACACATCATCTACCCATTTATTAGTTAACAAAACCCAATTAAATAAAAAGCAATCAGAATGCATTATTTGATTCTTTTTCACCATTAAAAAACAAAAAAAAAAGTGAACCATTATTTGATTTGCTATACTATATCATTCTTTGTATATAAATATAACCCATACGACTTGTTCTTCTAATGTTTTTTTAAGAGCCCACGTTACCATTCTCGGCCCATCCTTGGTGGCAGCAATGTTGAGTTGTTCCACACAAGAGACCTGGGTTTTAGTATTTCTAGCATTCACAACATCAAAAAAGTAAATTTGAAAAAAAAGTCCATGTTATGTAATGATAATAACAAGACGTCACATATATTTATAATCTGATGAACCACAATCGTACAGGTTTATATTCTTTAATCCTGACCGTTCAATGAAAGGGGACCAGCCATCTCTACGATGGGACTTACCCCAGTTCCCAAGAATCAAAACCAACCATATATAACCGTTTCAGTCTAAGCTGTAAAGCATGGACCTAGAATCAAACCAACCATACATAACCCCAGTTCCCTCCCTATTGATCTTAATGTATTGAGATTGAGGAAGAACTGTTGAGATGAGCTTTTTTAACTTCCCTAATAAATTGTATAAAACCAATTGCATCCTGATTAGACCTGTTCATGGGCTGGGTAGCCCGATGGCCTGGCCCGGCCCTGCTTGTATCCCGGTCGGGCTTGGTCATGTAATTAGGCTTGCGGGTCTGACCTTGGGCCTAACACAGTAAGTCCGACTGTGCTACGGGCCGGATTTGGGATTTGAAAAAAAAGCTCGGCCCGAGTCGACTTAGCATTATATATTTTATAAAATACATATTATGTATTTATATTTTATATATTATATAAAATATATAAATAATATAATATTTATTAAAATATATAAATAATATAATATTTATTGAAATATATATATTTATAATTTAATATATACATTTTTTTTATTTTTTTCTTTATCATTTCTCTTACTCTCTTTCTCTCTCTCTATTTAGCTGCTTTAGCAGTAGTAACAATATGGGCTAAATTTCGGACTCGGGCCTAGGCCCGGGCTTCAAGCTTTTTATGAAGACCGGGATCAGGCCCAAATTGTAGACCCAATGGTCAGATCAGACTCGGGCTCGGGCCTTAAAAAATCTATTAATACAGAATGAAAGCCCGGCTCAAGCCTGCCCGGCCAAGCCCATGAACAGGTCTAATCCTGATCTTATATTGGAAAGATAAATCTCCCATCTGATTTGGTAATATAAATTATTTATTAGTCTCAATGCTTTTATCTTTGTATAACAATATATTCTTCTCATAAATTTGTTTTTATTCTAGGAATTAACCCATCTTTCCCTTGAGATTATAACCTTATTCTTTTGCTATGCTTACGTTTTAATGCTTTAGAGTATAAATTTTGAAGGAAAAAAAAATAGAGGAAGATTGTAAGAGTTCGCACTCCACGTGCCTTGCTTAACTAGTATCAGTTGAGAAAATAACAAGTATTTAATTCTACTTTGTTCCTTTTACTTTTTACTACTGTTTCCCATGTGATCCGTGGTCGTGGGAAAGCAAAATAGCAAATCGCAAATCATCCATTGCTCTCAGCCTCTCAACTCTCAAGTTGCAGGAGTCGCATTTCACCCGAGAACGATGGGAATCTCATAATCATTTCGCTAACAAGTTCCAAATTAATAAACCCATTTTCATATTTCATGATTTCACCAACAGATGTGAACGACAAACAAAATTAGGGGCTAATAACTAGTAAATCTGCAAATTTCTTTCATTGAAGCTAACAAAAAAGTAGAACAAAAATAAGTAAAATAAAAAAAGAAGGTAGGAACAAGTACAGAGATTGGGGTTGTGTATGTGGGATGAATGGATCGATGGATCCACATGAAATTAAAAATAAATCGCAGTTCCAAAGCTTGCCCAACTGATATGCGGACAGAAAAATTAACTGCACCCATCTTCATTCTTCACAATATGTTTTAGTTCTAATACGTATCATCAGATCATATATGGGCGGGGATGGAACAGAATCAAATCATCTTTAATTTGTTGGATTTTCTAGGCTATGCAGCTGCCACCGTCCCTCCTTTACTGGATGCTTCTGATTCGGCCGCAGCCTTCGTAGCATCTTTCTTCGACGCCAAGGAGCACTTCTCTTTCCGCTCGTCTTGATTCATCTGTTGCTGCCGGCACTCCAGACTGCAGAAAGCGCTATCGCCTCTGAAAAAAAAAAAAAAAAATCATCAAAACAATCCCATCTTTGGTCAGAACTCAAAATCCACGACTACCAGACCCAGACAGACAAAGGCTGTGGGTGTAGGGATGACGAAGATGATAAATCGAGGTGGTGGTTTGAATCCAGTCAGATTAGAAATACGTAAAAGTCGGAGGAAACTACCAAAAGATTCGGGTACGTTAAAACTTCTTAGCAGGAGTACGAAATTATAATGGAAAATTTTAGTTTACACGCAGAGTGATTAGTTACATAAGAGTAGACGAAATCTAATCTATTTAAAACTAATGAGTGTGGTGTGGACAGAAAAATGAAATCCTTCCAAGAAAAACAGGTAGTTTCATGCTGTTGAAGCTAGCTTTCTCTTGGCATGGGAGAGATCTATTTGAAAACAAATAAAAATCAAAACTTTCAAATCTCTCCGATAAATTTTTATTAGCCATGAGGAATTTCTAAGGAAGCCCAGATCGATTTAAGACTTAGGAGAGAGAGAGAGAGCAAGAAGAGATTTAAACAAAAGAGAAAGGGTTGTACTCCTCGAACCTACCTATACATGTAAATATCTCGACCGGGTGCCAAACGGCGCTTACAGAGGCCGCACGCCCTTAAGAAGTGAGCCGTCTGAACCAAATCGGCCGAATTCCTCCTGGGGTTCCTCGGTGAGACAGTGGCCAGTAACCGGTCGTTGAATCCACCGGGAGCCTTACCTCCCCCTGGTTGGGTTCTTCTTGCATGAGTCTCTTCGCCAACCGGTTTTTGTCGATCTTTCATGGGGTTCTGCGGATCGGACGGCACCGGAGCCTCCACGTTGTTTAGATCAACAGTGAATTCGGTCAAGCTTGTCGTTCTCCTCATCGGAAGACGAGGACGCTTTCCCAGCAACATCTTCTCTAATCACTCTTCACACCACCTAAAACCAGTGGAGAGAGAGAGGGAGAGAGAGAGAGAGAGAGAGAGAGAGAGAGTTTGGACCTTGGTGGTGCCTTGGACTTGGAGTGAAGAGTGAAGAAGAGCGGGGGGAGGTTGGAGGGGTGGAGGGGGAAGATAAACAAAGGGCCAGAAACAGAGGAGTGAATCTGGACCGTTCCTTTCGGAGCCTTGCATAAGAGAAGTACACGTCAGCTTCTTTGTATTTTTCTATATTTTATTGTTACAAATAATTAATATTTTTGCTTTTGTTACTGCTTTGTTTTGTCGTGTAGCGTCAAATGATTTTTTTGTTGAGTGTACAGGTGCCGTACAAGTGAAATGTGAAAATTAAAAAAAAAAATAAAAATAAAAATTGGGATCTACTGTCCAGGTTTATTACCCCACGGGCCACGGGCCACGGGCCACGGCCAGACCGAAAAGGGGAAAAGGGAGAAAATATGGATTACCGGCTATCCCAGTTTTACGAGTTAAAAGCCGGTTGCACATGGGACCTTGGAGTCGTGAACTTGATTTCTGTTTCCCGCGATTGTTTCACGAGAAATAAAACTCAAATCATGTAAGATTTTAGAATCCTTGACTGGTTTCCCCCTAGAATTTAGAATCCATTAGCAGCGTAAGATTTTACTTGTTTGTCTGTTTTAATTAATTTGAAACCAAACTGGGACTGGGAGCTTCTCCCAAGATACCATTTCAGAATCATGGCTTTTCCATAAGAATAATGGAGTTCAATTGTAGATGTAGATGTAGTTAGTTCATCATGGTCCATGGAGGAGGTGGAATCTCGAAAAGATAGTGGGATTCCACTTTGGAGATGAAAATTTATCTGGTTTATGGTAATGGCCATATCTCCAATTCCAAGCCAAAATGAGATCAAATCGCAAAAAGAAAGGAAAGCTATTTGGTGATTGGTGATGGACAAACTACAATCGAGTGTAGTTTGATTATTTTAACAATGACAACGTCAGAACCCAAAAGTAGTACTAACAACGTCAGACTGTGTTTCCCCACTTTGCTTAACAAAGGAGATGGCCTAGGTCAGCTCAACTCAGTTTGAGCGTCTTTTGTTTGGTAAATATATCAAAATGATTTTGTTTACATTTTGCCAGGGAGTCAAGGAGACGCCACTACTCATCGCCGATATACAAATAAGGAGGCAAACAGTGAAGTGAAGAGCCACGCCACCACATTGCCTGCTTCTGCTTGGTCTATTTGTTATTCATTTATCCTTTGAATTAATAGTCTTGTGGCCATATGAGAAACTTCTTTTATTTCTCAGCAGTGAGGACTGGAGGGTGAGAGAGATAGAACCGGTTAGAACGGTGAGTGGGTGGGGTGGATGGTCACAAAAGTCACAGTCACAGTCAGACAATTTGGGTGGGTGCGTCCAGTCTAGTTATTATTCTTGGTCCCGGCCACACTGGCCCCACTCGTGCTTTCAATTCATTGGTGCATATACCACAGAAAAAAAAAAAAAGCGTAATTGGACACAAATTTGATAGACAAATATAGTACATCTACATCACAAGGGTCCAAATAGGGGTGTCATGGGTGTGGGCCAGACTCATTCACGTCCCACTGGCCTTCGTGTTACAGCTGTCCCACTCTTGTAGCCCCACTTGGCTACATTGCCGATTTGGCCCTTTTCAATATTAAGTTGCTTTGTCATTTACTGCACTGCTGGACTCTTGGAGTGCGACGCACCATTTATTTCTCTGTGTCCTTACCTTTACACCTTTGGATTGGAACTACTTCATTTTTAACTATATATTTTTGTGGGTCCAACCATGGTGATTTTGATAGTGTTCAGTATTATTGGCGTTTCATTCAATGCCATTTGAAGTAGATGCGGGAACGAGAGATAGAGAATGCTTTCATTGCTTTGTGTGTGGAGTAACTTTCATAACTTCAACTTGTATTTAAAAGGTTGATTTTGTAAAGAGTGTAAATATAAATATGTAAAGTGCAAAATATAAAATACAGTGCAAATTGCAAAACTTTGTATATAATATTTTTATACTCTTCCCAATAAATATAAATACAAATACAAATATAATAAATACATACAAAATGTAATATTTTGCACTTTACTTATTTTGTATTTATACTTTTTCCCAACTGAATATGATTGATATGCGTGCTACTTTAGCTCCAATGATGGGAGAGGATGAGGTATTCCCTTACTATATGGTTCGGACACATAACCCTTTTGATTTTTGAATATTGAAATTTAACAGCGTATATGGTGTTAATGTGGCAGCAAGCAATTTTATATATGAAATACCCCCTTAGTTTTAAACAATTTTTGTTGGTTTTGTGGACCAAAATACTTGCAGGTGTACCACCAGCATTCCAAGGTGCTCCTCATTTCTAGATTTTCTGTTCAAATCTAGATCTGCACACTGCACACTGCACACTCTTGGGCCTAGATCTAGATTTTCTGCTCAAATCTAATCCACACTAAGCCCACACCGAGCAGGGATGTAAACAAAATGTGGATTCAAATCAAATCAGGTCAATCAAATTTGAATTCGATTATAAAATTAATAATTCGAATTTGAATTAATATTTGATGGATTCTCGGAAAATCCTATAAAACATTCAATTCAAATTTCATCAAGTAGTTCAAGAAATCAAAATGCTGCCGGAGAGACATGATATCAGAAGGGCTTAGACCAATTAAATCCCTCCCATGAATTTTGAGAAATACCAATTAATTGTTACCACTTGTATGATTCCAGTTGATTGGTTATACATTTTATTGGTATCATGTCTTCCCAACATCATACTCGGAATCCAAAATATTATTTTCACCTAAAATGGTGTTGAATTTGATGAACCGTATGAAAATAACTCATTACAATAGTTTAACCGTAAGAAGAATGGTAGTCGTTACAAAGAACAAAACAATAGATCTTATAAATAACAACAATATTGAGGAGCCCTCCATTGTAGAAACTATAGTGGAACAAGCAAAACTATGGAAAGTACAAAAAATATGCATACATACGCACAAGATAGATTAACAAGAATGAAAGGAGTAAACAAAAAAATCTCTAAAAAATTAGAATGAACAACCAAGACTCTACATAAAATGAAACCCTTAAAGGATATCATCCTAAAGCCAAAAACCTTAAGCCATTATCAATTAAATTGTGGGTCAATCCTTGTATATAATTTTTTCATACATTTTATTTATTTCTTAAATGGAATACATGTTCATAAGTGCATCCCAAAAATGTCCTCCCCATGATGCATCAACCTCTGGTCATCTACATTAACCACTTTCCCTTGAAAGAAAATCCATGTAATATCATCAATTTTGATACACATCAACCAAGAACCCTTTGCCCATGATCATAAGAAGCCCTCATTCAATTACTAGTTGCAACATGAGTCATAATTCAACCATGGGTGGGTCAAGTCATAGGAATCATCAACCGCTCACCAATCCAAGTACACTCAAGTGACTCAACTGTAAAGTGGAGTTGTGGGAGTCACTAACTATTCTTGCAAATAATCTGACGAGGAAATGAACAAATCCATGGGAATCACCACATGCATTTGTCAATACTTGTGTTCAATCAAATCATTAGCTTTAATACCATTTGAAGGGACTAAGGAGTCACTAAAACCAAAAAGATTATTTCATGCTTAGAATTTAGACATAAAAGTTGAACATCACTTTTAATTCAAAAACCTAATCCTTTTGGTTATGCGGCAATCCTTGTTACTTTTTCTCTCTTCACCTAATTGAAGTGAGAGACAAAGAGAGAGATTTAAATCAATAATTGAAAAGAGAAAAAAGAGATGCGTTATCAATTGCAGGGATGAATGGCCTTATTTTACTATTTTGCCCTTTAACAAATAAGATATTACACTTTGATATATATATACGATTTACAAGATAATGTAAGGATTGATTGGTAATCAGATATATACGCTTGTATCCTAATCAAATTTGACTATTTATCTAATCAAATCAGCCTATAAGATGATTATTTAATTTTGATATGCTTGTATCAAATCAATTTTGTACGTGCAAATGCAAAGTTTAGAAATACAATTTACGGAGAAGTACGAACAGGCCCATTGCAGAAACCTGAATCCCAGGCCAGCCTATACAGAATCTATAATAACAGTTAAATTCAACTTTTGAAATTATAGGACAGATTCCCACGCCAACTAAGCATCATCCTTTTCCCTATGCTTCTCATGTGAGGCGACAATCCGGCTTGGATTCCATGTCATCATAACACTTATTTAAATTTCTATTTTGAATTTTAACCTTACGTTGCAAAGACTAAAATGACCCTGCTAGGGCCCACGGTCATTGCTCTCTCCCGCCCTCCTTCTTCTTTCTCTTTCGTTGTCTCTCGCACTCTCAACTCTTTCTCTTCGACTGTTAGTTTTCCTCCCAGCGGTGCTCCTCTTTCTCACTCTCATTTTCTCCTCCCTCGCTCCCCCTCAGTCTCACTCTCCCTCTGTCGCCCCTCACTCTCTCCCGCTCTTCTTGCTCTCCCTCTTTCTCACTCTCATTTTCTCCTCCCTCGCACCCGCTCAATCTTGTTCTCCCTCTGCCGCACCCTCACCCTTTCTCGCTCTCCCTCTCTCAGTCTTTCTCGCTCTCACTTTCTCCCATTCTCGCTCTCCCTTTCTCCTGCTCTCTCACTCCCTCTCGCTCTCACTTTCTCCCATTCGCTCTCATTTCCTCCCGAATTCATGTTCCACAGCCTCCTCTGCTCACTTTTCATTTTCATTTGCTTTGTCCGTTCTATTTTGATTCTTAAATCACTGGATTGTACTTTCAGTAAGAGAAATCACTGTTCAAGAATTAAAATAGAACGGACAAAGCAAATGAAAATGAAAAGTGAGTAGAGAAGGCTATGGAACACGAATTCGGAAGGAGGGCAGCATCGTAGCAGCAACTTTATTCATCCTCAAAAGTCATTCATCGTTCTGTCAAGCTAAAGTCTCCGTTTCCTTCGATTTTTTTTTGTCTTTGATGCGTTCTCGTTTTAAGGTCTTTCGTTATTGGAAACCTGCAATTCTGCATGAAAAGGCGAAGAGCTTCCAACAGATTTTCTGCTTCAAACTGAAGTTTTG